CTGGCTCCCCACTTTGTGGACCTCTTGGATCACGTGGACCCTGAGCTGAGGGAGCCCCTGAAGGTGGTGTTGCGGCAGGAGGTGGTGTCCAGGCCAGGCAGGGATGAAGCTCTTTGCTGGCACCTGCAAATGTTGGCAAGGGTGGCAGATGGAGATGCCCAGAGTGCTACCCTCAACTTTCTACGGGCTGCGGCTGCCCACTGCACGAGCTGGGACCTACAGCAGGGCCTGCTGCAGGTCTGCCGGGCACTGCTGCGGGCAGGGGTGGGAGGTGGCCTGGTTGACTTGCTGCAGGTACTGGCCAGGCAGCTGGAGGACCCTGATGGGCGTGACCACGCCCGACTCTACTACATCCTCCTGGCACACCTGGCAGGACCCAAGTTGGGGGTGGCCCTGGGCCCCTCCCTTGCTGCACCTGCACTGGCCTCTTCACTGGTGGCTGAGAACCAGGGTTTTGTGGCAGCACTGATGGTGCAGGAGGCCCCGGCCCTGATACGGCTGAGCGTGGGGTCCCATGAGGTCAAGGGCCCACTGCCAGTGCTGCAGCTCCTGCCAGAGGCGCTGGAGCCCATCTACTCTCTGGAGCTGCGCTTCCGCGTGGAAGGACAGCTATATGCACCCCTAGGGGCTGTCCGTGTGCCCTACCTGTGTCCTGGCCGCCCTGCCCGCCCTCTGCTCCTGCCCCTGCAGCCCCGACGCCCAGCCCCAACACGGCTGGATGTCCACGCCCTTTACACTACATCCACCGGTCTCACGTGCCATGTCCACTTGCCACCCCTGTTTGTGAACTTTGCCGACCTCTTTCTGCCTTTCCCCCAGCCGCCAGAGGGGGCCGGTCTGGGCTTCTTTGAGGAGCTCTGGGATTCCTGCCTGCCAGAGGGTGCTGAGAGTCGTGTCTGGTGTCCACTTGGGCCACAGGGCCTGGAGGGCTTGGTGTCTCGCCACCTGGAGCCTTTCGTGGTGGTGGCCCAGCCCCCTACCAGCTACTATGTAGCGATTCACCTTCCCCCAGACTCAAAGCTGCTGCTGCGGCTGGAGGCAGCCCTGGCAGACGGAGTGCCTGTGGCCCTGCGGACTGATGACTGGGCCGTGCTGCCCCTGGTGGGGGACTACCTCCGCGGGCTGGCGGCTGCCGTCTGAGCCCCAGGAGGCCAGGTGGGGCAGGACTGTGGCCCTTGTGGGGGCCAGGGCACACTCCTGTGGCTCTTTTTCCCAAAACCCTGCATTCCCCAGTGCCCTCGCTGGCTTGTTTTCTTCTGGGCCCTGGTTGGGAGCAGGCTCATGGGGGTGAGGGTCTTAGTCTGTTTTTGCTGCTTTAGTAAGATACCTGAGACTGGGTAAGTTATAATAAACAGAAATGTATTGGCCCACAGCTCTGGGGCTGGGAAGTCTGCGGTTGAGGGCCCAGAGCCCAGCGAGGACCCTTCTGCATCCCATGATAGAGGACCCACTACCAAGATAACAGCCTGGGCCCATGCAGGAGGGCAGAGCCCTCTTGGCCTGATCACCTCTTAAGGGTCCTAAGTCTTATACTGTTACAGTGGCAATTACGTTTCAACATGAGTGTGGGAGGGGATGAGCATTCAGACTGTAGCAGGGTCATAGGCCCCAGGAAAGCCCCCAGACAGAACTCGGGACTGCAGAGTTACATAGTTGTGTCTCAGCCAGACACACTAGTGCTCTCCAGGGTCCCTGCCCAGGAGGCAGGGGAAAAATCTTTCTGCTTCCCAGAGAGGGCCTGGCCTTGCTCAAGGCCGCTCAGTGATTTAGGAAGGGGCTGGAGCTAGAGTGTGTGGGACAGTACTTTTATTTCTTCTTTTCTTTTTTTTTTTGGTGGGGGGCGCTAATGACAGGCTCTCACTCTGGTGCTCTGGAGTGCAGGGTGCAATCAGGGCTCATTGCAGCCTCTGCCTCCCATGCTCAGGTGATCCTCCCATCTCTGCCTCCTGAGAAGCTGGGTCTACAGGTGTGAGCCATCACTGTATTTTTTTTTGCACAGACGGGATCTCCCTGTTTCCCAGGCTGGTCTCTGACACCTGGGCTTAGGTGACTCTCTTGCCTCAGCCTCACCAAAGTGTTGGGATTACTGGTGTGAGAGCCACCACACCCCGCCAAGCCAGCACTTCTCAACCACCAAGGTTTGCAGGGACCCTACCCCAGAGAGTTCAGGCCGGGCAGGACAGTGGGCCTAAGCCAGAAACAGAAAGGCTGTGGCGGCCAGGTAGTTTCTCCAGGGAGAGAGCTTCCCAAGCTCTGCCAGTTGGAGCCCGCTCTAGGAAGGGCCTGCTAATAAGGTTCGAGGGCTGAGAGAGGGAGCCACATGATCGGAGTTAAGACTAAACTTCTTCTAATCTCAGCCCCTAAGAAACCTAATTTGTGCTTAGGAATCTTCCCAGGTAAGAAGAACTAGTTCCTCTAGTTTTTGTTTTTTTTCCCCCAAACATCCAAACACAGGATTCAGCTGTGTGGGGGCCAGCTCTGCTGCCAGGCACATGTGTTGCCTCATTTCATCCTTGCAACAGCTCTGCAGGGCCCCGCAGATGAGGAAATCTGTAGGTCAGAGCAGTTGAGTGATTTTCCTAAGGTCACCCAGCTGGTTGGTAATTGTTTTTTGTCATCTGGTAGCAGGTTTCCATTATCACGTCATCAGAGCAGACCTCAGCCAGGGCCACAGAGGTCCCAACCCTCTCTGCCCTCTTTTGCTGCCCCTGCCTCTTGGGCTCCCAGCCACAGGTTCCCCATGGGTCAGCTTTACCCCTCCTGATCCCCCTGATTGGGGCAGGCCAGAAGAAAGACGGGCCTGGGCTGGGTGTGGTGGCTTACACCTATAATCCCAGCACTTTGAGAGGCCGAGGCGGCTGGATCACCTGAGGCCAGGAGTTCAAGATCAGCCTGGCCAACATGGCAAAACCCTGTCTCTACTAAAAATACAAAAATTAGCCGGGTGTGGTGGCATGTGCCTGTCATCCCAGCTACTTGGGAGGCTGAGGCAGGAGAATTGCTTGAACTCAGGAGGTGGAAGTTGCAGCGAGATGAGATTGCACTATTGTACTCCAGCCTTGGTGACAGTGAGATTCTGTCTCAAAAAAAAAAAAAAAAAAAAATGGGAACCAGGCCTGGGACAGTGGGAGTGTTATAGGTCAAGTCAGGGGGCCTGTCTCAAACTTGATATGTGACAGTAACTTGCTTTGTCACCTCAGCAAGTGATTTCCAAATCAGGAAGGGGTCCGTTTCAGGAAACAGAAATTTCTCCAGCTGTTTTTGGCAGAAAGAGATTTGAGGGAATCAGGGTACTTAAAAGTCCAGGGGAAGTCTGGAGAAGCTACCTCCAGGAGGCTCCCACTGGAGCTGAAATCAAAACATACTGTCCTGCCTGCCATCCACCCCTTCTCAGCACCCAGGAAACTGGGCTTGGGCCCTGGCAAGTGGGGTGGGACTGCCACCTCTGCCTCCTGACACCCACAAAGCTAGAAGCCTGGTGCTGCTGCAGAAGGACTGAACATCTCCAAGGCTGGGCCCACAGGGCAAATGGCCCTGGCCCTGTTTCCTCCGTCCACCTCCTTCAAAAGACATCTCATTAGTGGACTCAATTTTTCTCTTCCACAGAACCCCAGTGGCAAGGGAATCTTTTTGCCTGAAGATGCTCATCCTTAGCCTAACAGTAAGGTAACTGGTCCATGCAAGGACTGGCCATCCTTTAACCCATCTCTCTGCCCACCTGTGCATCCATCCCATTTTATCCATCCACTCCTCCAGTGTTGGACACCAGATGACCTTCAGCTCCCCCGCCAACCAGAACTGTGCTGCAATGGCCATTCTTAGATGTCCCCTGTGGACCTATGTAACACTTTCTCTGGGATATATGCTAGGGGCAGAATTGCTGAATCGGAGGGCATGTATGTTCGTGGCTTGGCTAAGCAATGTTGGAGTAAAAGCTTTTGGTTTTGCATCTTCTCAGCGCTCCTAGGGAGGCACCAAGAGGCAGGATGGTGCTGAGTGAGCCCTCCTGAGAGCTCCTAGACCCCACCCCTCTGTGTCCTCAGCATCACACACTGCTGCTCATCATCTCAGCTTCCTGAAGATCTATAGCGGCACGCCTGTAATTATCCAAAGTACAACCAAAAATTCTTCCTAAAAAGAGGGAACCAAAGTCACATGGGTCACTTTGTCCACCTGTGTGGACGCTGCTGTTCATGTACCCTTCCTTGCCTCTTCCAAGGCAGGTCTGGCTACAAGTCCAGCCCTGGCTAATGAAATGTGAAGAGGGTCAGTTTTGGGGCAAAATATGTCATTGCCAATGCTCAATTTTCCAGCCTTCTCTCCCTCTGCCATGACAGTTGGGGAAGTACATGTTGGAGGTGCTAAATAGTTGAGTCATCTCACTTTGATACGCTGCAACAAATGCACTGGATTATCAAATTAGTTATGTAAACTAAAAATCCTAAACCCCCACCAACTGAATAGAGGCTCCCTCGTGGCCAAGGGGACCCTAGAAAAAAGTTCCTGGCCTTGACAGGCTGAGAGGTCAGATGTAACTTGTTATACCCTATTCCTTTATGGTTTAGACACAACTGACCAGCATGAATGAACAAAATAGGAATAATGAGATGGACAGAACAGACTGTGTGCCAATAAGATACCAAATGGTAAACAGGACCTAAGGCCATGCCAGGCAAGGGTTAAGTCATACAGGGCCCCCACTCCATGCTCTGCCTCCCCTGTCCCCTACTTATGAATAAACTATGTTCTAATTGCACAAGGTTTTTTTCTGTAGCAGCTAAAACGCTAAAAAAAGCACTGTTTTTTTGTTTTGTTTTTTTGAGACGGAGCCTCACTCTGTCACCCAGGCTGGAGTGCAGTGGCCCAATCTTGGCTCACTGCAACCTCTGCCTCCTGGGTTCAAGTGATATTCCTGCCTCAGCCTCCTGAGTAGCTATGATTATAGGCATGTACTACCATGCCTGGCTAATTTTTGTATTTTTTGTAGAGACAGGGTTTCACCATGTTGGCCAGGCTGGTTTGAACTCCCGACCTCAGGTGATCCGGACGCCTCAGCCTCCCAAAGTGTTGGGATTACAGGTGTGAGCCACCTCACCCAGCCCAAGCACTGTTTTTGAGATAAGCAATATTAAAAACACTTTCAGCTTCACCAGATGCTGACTAACTGACCTCCAGCCAGTGTTCCACCAGCCATAACTACGGCTTTGGTTGGACAAGAGACTGATTTCAGTAACTTGCCTGATGACCACCCACCATGGACTGGTTCTGGCTGGTTTGCAGAGCTCGTGCATTTGCGTGGAAAGAGCTTTTGCCATATAGGGCCTAATCGTAATATATTTAAATATTAAGTCTCCACCCCAAAGCGAGCATGGGTTGTATGTTACATGCATGTATGTTCAATATGCATGTGTCAGAACCACCTTCATGAACATTCATAGCTCCTCATGTAAGCTATTGAATGTGTATGTTTCATCAGTCCATGGAGCATGAAACTTCTACCGTAACCCCTCCTCCTTTGAAGTGCCTGTCTCTGGTCTTGGCTGGAGGCACGATTCCCAGAGGAACTCTCCCTTTCCGAGGCTGGAGTGCAATGGTGCGATCATAGCTTATTGCAACCTTGAACTCCTGGACTCAAGTGATCCTCCCACCTCGGCCTCCTAAGGTGGTGGGATTACAGGCGTGAGTCACTGTGCCTGGGCTATAACCAGTGTTAAATCATGTTGAGCCTAAAGCTGCCTCCTTACAGTTTTTAAATTTGGCCTAAAGGTTTCTCTGTGCATCGTGAACTGTAACCTAAACGGACTTGTAAACCGAATGTAGCCAGTGCTTGTGCCAATCACTGAGTTTTGGCTAATCAAAGGTGGCCAACTGTTCAAACTGTGTTCAGATAAGGCAAACACCATCTGGCTGGTTTCTAGATCTCACTTCTGTTTTCTGTACTTCATTTTCCTTTTTCTGTCCATAATTCTTCCACCACTGCTGCACTGGAGTCTCTGAGCCCACTCTGGCATGAGAGGCTGCCTGATTCTTGAATTGTTATTTGCTCAGTTAAACTCTGTTAAACTTACCTGGACTAAAGTTTTCCTTTTATCACTGAGCATCCTGTATTTTATCTGTTAACCCTGGATTGTTATTTACAACTTCTTTCTTCCATACCCATTCTATGGTTCTTTTAGGGATCTTAATGAAGTGACCCAAACTTCATTCCTGAAGAGTCTGAGTCCTTGGTAATTCTGCTTGTATTGGATCACTTGAGGCTTTCATTAACACTATCACTGAACCCAGCAATCCTCAGCGACGTCTCAGGGGATCCCCTGGGTACCACGGACTCACTGTCTCTGTTGTGTGGCAGCAACAGCCTCTCTGTGGACAGTCAGGATCAGTCTTCCTCTTGGAGCTGTTGGTCCCCAGGCAAAATGATGATGTGGGGGCAGCCTTTACCTCCAGTTCAAAAAAACCATACAGTGTCCATTCCTGGTAGCACTCTCCCTTGGACACTGCGGGCTCTAACCCTTAGAAGGAATGGGAAGGCAATATTTTGTCAGAGGCTTTCAGGTAGGAGGATAATGGTAGCAGCAGAAGTCCCCAGTGTCACCTAGAGAAACAATATGTAATGAGGAGAATAGATAAAATTATGCAACAGCAAGCCCTCAGGATAACATGGAGACAAGAATGCTCAAACTTAAAAAGAACAAGAAAAACAAATAACATAGAAATTGCCCAGCTGGGTGTGGTGGCTCATGTCTGTAATCCCAGCACTTTGGGAGGCTGAGGTGGACAGATTCCTTGAGCCCAGAGTTCGAAACTAGCCTGGGCGACATGGCGAAAACCTGTCTTTACAAGAAATACAAAAATTAGCTGGGTGTGGTGGCATGGTGGTGTTCTAGCTACTTGGGAGTTTGACATGGAAGGATCATTCGAGCCCAGGAGGTATGGGCTATAGTGAGCCTTGATCACACTACTGCCCTTCGGCCTGGGTGTCAGAGACCTTGTCTCAAAAAGAAAGAAAGAGAGAAAGAGAAAGAAAAAGGAAAGGGAAGGAAGGAAGGAAGGAAGGAAAAACAAATGACAGCTTAGGATGTCTCCCTTCCACATGCCCATTCCAACCTCACATGCCACAGGCTTTGTGTCGGGACAAGACTAGCTGAGGAAAACTGGGGCAAAGGTGAGGAGGACGTTGTAATGGGGCTTAAGCTTGATCTAAGACCTCACCAAAAAGACTAAGTACACTTTGAGCCTGAAAATGTAAAAACATGTCTGCAGTAGTGTCGAAGCTGGGACGATAGGTGGGGGATTTAAAAGTACACATGAGGCCAGGCATGGTGGTTCACACCTGTGATCCCAGCACTTTGCGGGGCCGAGGCAGATGGATCACCTGAGGTCAGGAGTTCGAGACCAGCCTGGACAGCATGGTGAAACCCCATCTCTACTGAAAGTACAAAAATTAGCCAGGCATGGTGGCCCATGCCTGTAGTCCCAGCTAGTCGGGAGGCTAAGACAGAAGAATCGCTTGAACCCAGGAGGTGAAGGTTGCAGTGAGCCAACATTGTGCCACTACACTCTAGCCTGGGAGACAGGGTGAGACTCTGTCTCAAAAAAAAACGAAAACAGTCCCGTGAGATGTGAAGCCACCATCTTGGAAACACATAGCTCCTGGGGGAGCAACTACCCACAAAAGAAGGGAAAAGTGTCCTTTGGCATTTAGGTGTGAAGAGGGAAGCAAATGGAGAAGTTTAATTGTCCTCCAAGACAAAAAAAAAAAAAAGACCCGCAACCCCCACTCCCGCCCCTGCAAAACAAATTCACTAAAGCATCTGGACTTTACAATGTTGCCAGAAGAGGGCGCATTATCTAGGGATCGTGTAAGACACCCAATACCATGAAAGTGAATAATAAAAAGATAGGTTCATACATACAAAGTTATTGCAAAATATCAGAAAATGAATTCCATCACATATGAACCAAGAAAAATTCACACAAACCTCTGAAACAATAGCCATGAAGAAGAAGAGAGCTGTAGTACACCACTCTAAACAGAACCAAATATATTCAAAACAAGCATTTGAAGACATGCAAAGCCACTTTGGTGGGAAATTTCAAAACAAAGAACAGAAATCAACAAAATGGAGGAAGAAATGAAAGAGATTTGGTTGAACTTGGGAAAGAAAGGCAACAAACCGACAAAATTATCTAGAAGTAAAGATTAAATCACAGGATGCCCAAGGGAGAATAAAAATTTAATAAGGGGCATTGAAGGAACACGGAAGGCCAATCAAGAGAATGGAAATAAGATAAATAAGTCGGTTGGGTCCAGAGAAAGTAATGGAAACAGAAGATAGCCAAAGAAGGAATCACATGTATATTATTGGAGTCCCTGAAGAAAAACTAAACAACTAAACCAGAACTAATATTTAACACTATAAGAAAACCGTCCAGGAGCAAAAAATCCACATGTTGGAAGAGCCCACTGGGAGTGCGGGAAAATTCACTCCGTGCGATCAACTTTGAGATATATCCTAATAAAACCCTAATTACAAAGACCCTTTAATTTTATTTATTTTTAAATTAATTTATTTGTTTCTGTCACCCAGGCTGGAGTGCAGTGACATGGTCTCAGCTCACTGCAACCTCCACCTCCTGGCTTCAAGTGATTCTCCTGCCTCAGTGTCTTGAGTAGCTGGGATGACAGGCACCTGCCACCATGCCCAGCTAATTTTTGTATTTTTTGGTAGAGATGAGGTTTTGCCATGTTGGCCAGGCTGGTCTGGAACTCTTGATCTCAGGTTATCCACCTCCCTTGACCTCCCAAAGTGCTGGGATTACAGGTGTGAGCCACCATGCCCAGCCTAAAAGACTCTTAAAAAACAAACAAACAAAAAAAAACCCCTCAAGGTCTCCAGGCAAAAAGATCAAATAACTTACAAAGGCAAAAGAATTAGAATGACAGCAGACTTTTTAAACTAGCATACAAAGCAAGACAGCAACGGAGCAGCAGTTTTTAGACATTACACCTTTACAAGTGTGAGCTGGGATTTTATATTCAGACAAACTGTCCTTCAAGTATCACAATTTTAGGAAACAATTTTCTGTTTTTCAGTGAGTACCTATGGAATTCTGCACACATGAGTCAGTCTGATAGAGATGTGTTTCATGCACACCAAAGACAGCAATTATAAATAATATATATGGGCTGAGCATGGTGGCTCACACCTATAATTCCAGCACTTTGGGAGGCCAAGGCAGGAAGATTGCTTGAGGCCAGGAGTTTAAGAACAGCCTGGGCAACAGTGAGATCCTGTCTCCACACACAAAAATAATAATAAAATAGCCAAATGTAGTGGCGCATAACTTCAGTCTTAACTGCTCAGGAGGCTGAGGCAGGAGGATGGAAGCTTGAGGCTGGGAGTTCAAGGTTGCAGTGAGCCATGATCACACCACTGACCTCCAGCCTGGGTGACAGAGTGAGACCTTGTCTCAAAAGAAAAAAAAAAAAAGGCCAGGTACAGTGACTCATGCCTGCAATCTCAGCACTTTGGGAGGTCAAGGCGGGCAGATCACTTGAGGTCAGGAGTTTGAGACCAGCCTGCCTAACATGGTGAAACCCCATCTCTACTAAAGATACAAAAATTAGCCAGGTGTGGTGGGCACTTATAATCCCAGCTACTCGGGAGGCTGAGGCAGGAGAATCACTTGAACCCAGGAGGCAGAGGTTGCAATGAGCCGAGATTTTCCACTGCACTCCAGCCTGGGCAATAGAGCAAGACTCAGTCTTAAAAAAAAAAATTATATGTGTGTGTGTGTGTGTGTGTGTAGTGTGTATACACAATATATGTAGACATGTATACACACATATATATACACATACATATATAGAGAGAGAGAGTCTAAGACTAAAACATAGGTGGATATGAGGGCAAATGTGTAGAAATGTTATATATATGTGGTGTATATACAGTGAAAAAGTAGAAATACTGCAACTAAAAACATGGGGAATGAGGAGCTGAGGTCACGCCACTGCACTCCAGTCTGGGTGACAGGGCAAGACTCCACCTCAAAAAAATTTCTTTTTCTTTGTAGATACGGGGGATCTTGCTATGTTACCCAGGCTGGTCTTGAACTCCCAGCCTCAAGTAATCCTCCTGTCTCAGCCTCCCAAAGTGCTGAGATTACAGGTGTGAGCCACTACCATGCCTGGCCAATTTTTGCTGGTACCTTTAACTCTCACCTATTGCCCATAGTATCAGCAATGGTCCAATTAGGAGAGAACCAGACAGTAATTTGAATAGAGAAGTTTAAAGAAATATTAACTATAATAGGGGATGGAAGTAACATGAGATTAGCTAGCAAGAGGTGACAAGAATGCTAAAGAACACAGAAATAATAGATACAGGGAGCAGCCTTCAGCCCTAGGACTTTGATGGAGCACCCAAGGAAAAGCCCCCTTCCTGCCCCCAGGTCTGAGATCCAGATCTGCGGGACAGGGTATGCCTGTGGCTCACAGGACAGCAGAGAAGTTGGTGCCAGTGGAAATTGCTGGAAGAACATCCTCTTGCGATGCCAGGGAAAACTGTTCCTTTTTTTTTTTTTTTTTTTTTTTTGTAGATGGAGTCTTGCTTTGTCACCCAAGCTGGAGTGCAGTGGCTTGATCTTGGCTCACTGCAGCCTCCACCTCTCAGGTTCAAGCAATTCTCCTGCCTCAGCCTCCCAAGTAGCTGGGACTACAGGTGCCTGCCACCATGCCCGGCTAATTTTTATATTTTTGGTAAAGGGGGTTTCATCATATTGGCCAGGCTGGTCTCGAACTCCTGACCTTGTGATCTGCCCACCTCAGCCTTCCAAAGTGCTGGGATTACAGGCATAAGCCACTGCACCTGGCCAAAAAAAAATTTTTTTTAATTAGTTAGGTGTGGTGGTGTGTGCCAGTAGTCCCAGCTACTCAGGAGGCTGAGTCAGGAGGATCACTTAAGCCCAGGAGTTTGAAGCTGCAGTGAGCTATGACTACACCACTACACTCCAGCCTGGGTGATAGAGCAACCCCATCTCTCAAACGAGAAAAAGCTATCAATAAGGATGGATAATCCAGGCCAGGCACAGTGGCTCACTCCTATAATCTCAGCAGTTTGGGAGGCCAAAGCCAGTGGATCACTTAAGCCCAGGAGTTCAAGACCAGCCTAACCAACATGGTGAAACCCCATCTCTACTAAAAATACAAAAAATAGCCAAATGTGGTGGTGCATGCCTGTAGTCTCAGCTACTTGGGAGGCTCAGGCAGGAGAATCACTTGAGTCTGAGAGGCAGAGTTTGCAGTGAGCCAAGATCATGCCACTGCACTCCAGCCTGGGTAACAAAAGGAAGCTCTGTCTCAAAAAAACGTTAAAAAAAATTTTAAAAAGAAAGGCAAGCCGGGCGCGGTGGTTCACGCCTGTAATCCCAGCACTTCGGGAGGCCGAGGCGGGTGGATCACGAGGCCAAGAGATCGAGACCATCCTGGTCAACATGGTGAAACCCCGTCTCTACTAAAAATACAAAAAAATTAGCCGGGCATGGTGGCGCGTGCCTGTAATCCCAGCTACTCAGGAGGCTGAGGCAGGAGAATTGCCTGAACCCAGGAGGCGGAGGCTGCGGTGAGCCGAGATCGCGCCATTGCACTCCAGCCTGGGTAACAAGAGCGAAACTCCATCTCAAAAAAAAAAGAAAGGCAAAAAAAAATTTTTTTTAAGTTTAAATGGATAATCCAGATAGAGATTTTTAAAGATGTGAGTACAAAGGTAGACCCTAGAGCAAAAATAAAAGCCTTGCTAAGTACCAATTTATAAAGAGCAAAGAATATAGCTCATAAATAAATAACAAATATAAAATAAACATAATTATGTAATATTATGACAGAGTATGGACCGATTTTACTGACACATGTAAAGGGGCTTGACTCACCTATTTAAAGAAAAAGGTTTTGAATTTGGCTCAGAGAGCAAGACCTAACTATACATATGCTATATACAAGAGAAACACCCACAGCAACATGATCAGAAAGGTTAAAAATAAAGGGATGGACAAAGGTATCAAGGCAAATGGAAACAATTAAAAAGTAGAGGTAGTGATCTCATCAGACAAAGTAGAATTCAAGCCACAAAGCATTAAACATGACAAAAGGTATGTTTTAATATAAAAGCCATCATTCTCCACAAAGCTGTAACACTTATGAATATTTATGCACCAAGTAGTATAGCAACCAATTTTAAGGGATTAAATACCACAGGAGATGCAAAGAAACACATGAGACAGATCAAGAGGACAAAAAATGAGTAAGGAGCTAGAAGACTTAGACAACATAATAAATACAGTAGATCTCATGGATATATATATTGGATTCTATGCCAATAGGGAACATACTTTCTTCTCAAGCACTCACAGAATATTTGTAAAACTTGAATTAGGTCATAAGGAAAACACCAATAAACTCATAAAATTATAGATTTTATAATATCTTCTGATTATAATGCAATAAAACTAAAAATTATTAACAAACAAAACTTGAAAGGCCCTTCCGTCAGGAATTCTCCCCTGACCCCCACACAGATCCAAGTGAAGAACCATTAGGAAAACACCTTGTATTATATAACTATTATATAACTTTTTTTTTTTTTAAAGATGGGGTTTCACCATGATGGCCAGGCTGGTCTTGAACTCCTGACCTCAGGTGATCCACCCACCTCGGCCTCCCAAAGTGCTAGGATTACAGGCGTGAGCCACCGCGCCTGGCCTATATAACTTTTTTTTTTGAGACAAGGTCTCATTCTGTCACACAGAATGCTGGAGTGCAGTGGTGTGATCATGGCTCACCGTAGCCTCAACTTCCTCAGCGCAGGTGATCCTCCAGCTCAGCCTCCTGAGTAGCTGGGACTATAGATGTGTGCTACCACACCTGGCTATTTATTTTTTTAATTTTTTTGTAGAGACAGGATCTCACTAAGTTACCCAAGTTGGTCTTGAACTCCTGGGCTCAAGTGATCCTCCTGCATTGACCTCCCAACGCACTGGGATTACAGGCCCGAGCCACTATGCCCAGCCTATTAAATAATTCTCAAGGGAAAAGAAAATACAGACTGAAATTACAGAATTGAAAAATAGTGGTAATGCAAACAATACAGAATCTTATGGGATATATTTTAATCAAGAATCAGAAGAAAATTCACAGCCCTAACCCTTTTGTCAGCAAAAATGAGAGGCTGAAAATGATTTAAATTCCCAACTCAAAAAAGTTAGAAAAAAGAGTAACAAAGTGAACCCAAAGAAAACACAAAGAAGGAAATAATAATAATAAAAAAACCCAGAAATTAATAAAGTAGAAAATAGAGAAAAGTAGACCTAATTAATAAATCAAAATCTTGGTTTCTTTTCTTTTCTTTTCTTTTCTTTTTTTTTTTGAGACAGAGTCTTAGTCAGTCACCAGGCACCAGGCTGGAGTGCAGTGGTGTGACCTCGGCTCACTGCAACCTCCACCTCCTGGGTTCAAGCAATTCTCCTGCCTCAGCCTCCCGAGTAGCTGGGATTACAGGCATGCGCTACCATGCCCAGCTAATTTTTTTGTGTTTTTAGTAGAGATGGGGGTTCCACCATGTTGGCCAGGATGGTCTCGATCTCTTGACCTCGTGATCCACCCGCCTCGGTCTCCCAAAGTGCTGAGATTACAGGCATGAGCCATCGCGCCTGGCCAAATCTTGGTTTCTTGAAGAAAATTAATGAAATACACTAGGCTTTGGCAAACTATGGCTTGCAGGCCAAATCAAGCCTGCCACAAGTTTTATAAAGTTTTATTGGAACACATTCACATACTGTTTCTATGGCTGCTTTTGTACTACAATGGCAGAGTTAAGCAGTTCTTACAGAGACTGTATGGCTCACAAAGCATAAAATATTTGCCATCTACAGAAAAGGTTTGCTGACCCTTGAAATAGGCAAACAACTAGTTAACTTGATTAAGAGGAGAGGCCGTGTGGGGCAGCTCACTCCTGTAGTCCCAGCATTTTGGGAGGCTAAGGCAGGTGGATCACGTGAGGTCAGAAGTTCAAGACTAGCCTGGCCAACATGGCAAAAGCCCATCTCTACAAAAGAAAGAAAGGAAGAAAGAAAATTAGCCAGGCCTGGTAGTGTATGCTTATAATCCCAGCTGCTCAGGAGGCTGAGGCCGGAGAATTGCTTGAACCCAGGAGGTGGAGGTTGCAGTGAGCCAAGATTGTGCCACTGTACTCTGGACAGAAAAAATAAACCCAACGTATCTAAAAAAAAAAAAAAAAAAAAAAAGAAAGGAGAAAACACAAATATACGAAATAAGAAAGACGAAGAGGAGAAAATCATGGAAACAGAAATTTAAAGAAATTATTAAGAGACTACTTTGCAGAACTGTATGCAAATAAATGAAAACCTAGATGAAATGGATAACTTCTCAGGGAAATACAGATGACCAAAATTGCTCCTATTGGAGTTAAAAGCTTTTAAAACTTTAAGAACCTAAACAGAAACAGATTTCTTCCCATACAAGAAATGATGAAAGTTATTTATTAAGGATCTATTCCCAAAAAAATAGTACAAGACCCAGATGGTCTCACAGGGGATCTCTACAAGTCTTCAAAATCTCTATGTGCTATGAATTTTTCAGAATATTAAAAATGAAGGAAAACGTTCTAGGTCATTTTGTGAGGCAAGTATATTCTTGATACCTAAACCTGATTTTAAAAACTGTCAAAAACTCCATACAGACCAATGTTAATGATGTATGTTAACATAAAAATACTAAATAAAAGTCCAGGCATGGTGGCTCACAACTGTAATCCCAGCTCTGGAAGGCTGAGGTGGGCGGATCGCCTGAGATCAGGAGTTCAAGACCACCCTGGCCAACATGGTGAAACCCCATCTCTACTAAAAATACAAAAATGAGCTGGGCATGGTGGCATGCACCTGCAATTCCAGCAACAGAAGAATCGCTTGAACCCAGGAGGCAGAGGTTGCAGTGAGCCGAGAGCCCGCCACTTCTCTCCAGCCTGGGCAACAGAGCAAGACTCCATCTCAAAAAAATATTAAATAAAATAGTAATAAACAGGATATAATACCACACTAAGAAAAGCGAAATTTATTCCAGGAATATGAAGTTGGTTCAATGCTACCATACCGTATTATACCATAGTGAAGATGTAAGGGAAAAAGCAGTTATCTCCACAGATTCTTAAAAAACATTCAACAAAATTCACTTTGCAGAATAGAGCAGGACCATAAGAATGACCATGCACACTGAAGTCATGCGAAATGATATTAATAATCCAGGGGGAAATTATGATCATTGCATGACCATTACACATTTTTATTAAAAATTTAAAAGCTCTCTTATTGTCAGTTATAAATGTATACAGAAAGGAAAAAATAGAAAAACACATACCTATTTAAGTACACTATAATTTAAAACATTACAAACAAGTGTTTTATTACTTTTTAAAAGTCGTTTCAGGAGTAGTGTGAATAGTGCTTGTTTTCCTCGTGTCATTTAACTTAGGACATAGAAAGAACATGCTGGCCAGGCACAGTAGTTCACACCTGTAATCACAGCACTTTGGGAGGCCAAGGCAGGCAGAGGTCAGGAGTTCAAGACCAGCCTGGCCAACATGGTGAAACCCGTCACTACTAAAAATACAAAAATTAGCTGGGTGTGGTAGTGGGCACCTATAATCCCAGCTACTTGGGAGGCAGAGGCAGGAGAATTGCTTGAACCCAGAAGACAGATTAAGCCGAGATTATGCCATTGCACTCCAGCCTGGGCAACAAGAGTGAGACTCCATCTCAAAAAAAAAAAAAAAGAAAGAAAAAAAAGAACATGTTTTCCATGCCTTGGAAAATTGTCACACTCCTTTCTAAGTTTTCAACATCTTATCCTTTGTACTTCCCATGTTGTGAAATAGCTCCAAGTTCTTTTAAACTTTTTGCCAGCGGCATTTCTTCCAGGATATCTATCATTTTTGTGACCACTGGCTGCCTTAATAATTGTCCTTGATCCTTGTTAGTATAGTGGTTAGTTAAAAAAATAAAATCAGCCGGGTGCAGTGGTCTATGCCTATAGTCTCAACACTTTGGGTGGCCAAGGTGGGGGGATCTCAGGAGTTCAAGACCAGCCTGGGCAATAGTGCAAGACCCCATCTCTTAAAAAGTTTAAAAACCTAGCTGGGTGTGGTGGCACATGCCTATCATCTCAGCTACTTGGGAGGCTGAGGCAGGAGGTTTGCTTGAGCTCAGGAGTTGGAGGCTGCAGTGAGCCATGACTGTGCCACTGCAGTATAGCCTGGGCAACAGAACGAGACTCTGACTAAAATAAATAAATAAATAAATCTTGACATCTGGGGGCAGATTTCACAGCAACATCCTCATCTGTACTTAGTTTCATATTAATCAACGCATGCCAACTTCTGAAATGATGAAACAAACCACCTTTTACTGTTAGTAAAAGTTTCTTCTTCAGTCTCCTTGAAATTACTGTTTTCTGTCAATGTGGCAATTAACTTCAATGCGTCAGCCTGAATGCTGGCCAAACCGATGGAGATTGTTAACAAATTACAGTCTTCAGTCCAACATAGAAGTAAACATTCCATTTCAACCACAAACAACTTCTATTTACAGTGCAATTTAAACTAAAAGATGTTGAAGCAACCTGGGTGTGGCGGTTCATGCCTGTAATCCCAGCACTTTGGATGGCTGAGGTGGGAGGATCACGTGAGCTCAGGAGTTGGAGACCAGCCTGGGAAACAAACAAAAAATAATAAAATAAAAAATATGTTGAAGCAACTTTATCTCATTTATTTTATTTTGTGTTGCTCTAAAGGAACACTGGAGACTACGTAATTTATAAAGAAAAGAGGTTTATTTGGGTCACAGTTCTGCAGTCTGTACGAGAAGCATGGCATTAGCACCTGCTTCTGGTGAGACCTCAGGAAGCTTACAATCATGGCAGAAGGCAAAGGGGGAGCGGTGTATCACATGGCAAGAGAGGGAGCAAGAAAGAGGGAGGGGGAGCTGCCACGCTCTTTTAGATGACTAGATCTCATGTGAACTTACCACCACTCATGACCACAAAGAAGGCACCAAGCCATTCCTGAAGGATCCACCCCCATGACCAACACCTCCCACTAAGCCCCACCTCCAACGTTGTGGGGGGGGTCACATTTCAATATGAGAATTGGAAGGGACAAACATCCAAACCATATTATGATATTCATCAGACTTTCAATATAGCTCATACCACAGCTTTTTCAATTATTTGTCTTCTTCTTTGTTTTTTTTTTTTTTTTTTTTTTTGCTGTACTTTTATATTTGTTAGCTATTCCCCCTTCTAATCATCCATTCATTTTTTTTTTTTTCTGAGACAGAGTCTCACTGTGTTACTCAGGCTGGAGTGTAGTGGTGCGATCTCTGCTCACTGCAACCTCTACCTCCCAGGTTCAAGCGATTCTCCTACCTCAGCCGCTGGGTAGTAGCTGGAATTACAGGTGCCTGCCACCACGCCTGACTAACTTTTGTATTTTTAGTAGAGATGGGGTTTCACCATGTTGGCCAGGCTGGTCTTGAACTACTGACTTCAAGTGATTCACCTGCCTCGGCCTCTCAAAGTGCTGGGTTTACAGGTATGAGCCACTGCACCTGGCCCAATTATTCAATTTTGTAAAATGTTATATCTGTTTTATCACTGAGAGACAAGGAGGCAACCCAAGTATACACCTGACTGACGTCTGCATGAACTAACAGACTGGCACTGACCAAGCAATCACCATCAGACTTCGAAAGCAGTGATGTCCTAATCATGACGCCCATCTGTTACTTATGTCATGTTTTTTGGACTAAAGAGCCAGCAGCAAGATTTGCACATTACACAATTACTCCCAGTTAAAATGCCATGGTAAATGAAGTTTGAACCATGTTGGTGGAGGGGACTGGAGTTATTTAACTAAAATGTAGTAACTGAAAAATGTGCGTACAGAACTGGGCAAAGCAAAGACTTCCCACATATAGCACCTTAGCCTTTGTATGAGTTAGGAAACAATGGACTGTTTTTCCGTCTACATTCACACTCAACACAGAATGCTTCTAATCACCAAAATGTGTGGGTGATCAAACCCACACACCAAACAATTCTCTAGTGGACACTAACAGGGTGTCTTATAATTTAATTCAATTCCGACATCATCGTCATCTACCTGAAGTTAGAGTCAGAACCCACAGGGTAAGGGCTCAGTCCCACAAGACTGCCCACGTTTCAGAAGCCAGTCACAAGGCCCAGGCTGTGACATGTGCTTCTGTACAGTGAGCTATAAACAGGGGCTCCCACAAACCCATCCTAGGGTTTGATCACTTTTAGGGCAGCTCACAGAACTCAGGGAAACTTTACTTACATTTACCCATTTATTCTAAAGAATATTACACAGGATACAGACAAAACTGAGGCACAGGGCAGGGCACGTGGGAAGAGCTGCTGAGTTTCCCTGCCCTCTCTGGGACGTGCCACCATTCAGGCACCTTCATGTGTTTAGCAGCCCAGTAGCTCTCCAAACTCTGTAGTTCAAGGATTTTTATGGAGGCTTCATCACCCAGGAATGGCTGATTATTAACTCAACCTCCAGCCTCTCTCCCCTTCCCGGAGGATGGCGGTTGGGACTGAAAGGTCCAAGCTTCTCATTATGGCTTGATCTTTCTGGTGACCAGGCCCCATCCAGGAATCACCAAGAGGAACTTGTTAGCAGTTCATGTTTGAACTCCTAGAAGTACTTTCAAGAAGTATAAAAATGAATACACAGATATTTAAATGTTAAATATTTGGGTTTGTGGTCAGTCAAGTTTCTACATAAGAATGAGGTGCAGAGTGGTGAACCAACTTTAAATAACATGACCATTCTCCTCTGATGTAATGTTGCCTATTCTAAAAGGTGTTTATGAAACCTTAATTACTTGCTCTATTTGGTGAGAATTAGGCAATGAACAGAGAATCACATTTAACATCGTTACAGAAAATTTTTCTGTAGCCACTATGTAACTATTAATTTTCAGATTAGTTTTGCATAATAGAGATTCCTTTCTGCCACTAAGTGGAAAATAAAAGATTTAAAAGTCAGAAAATCATGTCTTGGACTCTGAAAGATATCAACAAAGGATATTTTTCAGTTGACTATGTTGATCTGGAAGTCAACTTCTTATAACATTGAGACAATATATCAAGGCCTAGAATTCTGTCTGATACTTCTATAGTATGATTTGCTACTAGAATTCTGAAAAGTCATTCTTCCTAATAAATAGATTTTAGGGGAAAATGGATGCTCCTATAACTCAAGAGATTCCAAAGGATTAGAAGCTCTATGCCAGAAAATGGGACAGAAACCAAGTATATATTTCTTATTATATCCAAACATCACAGCTTTAGCCAGCATCTTACTTAAAAGAGAAATACTAAAAGTGTTTTTCACTTAGATAGGAACAAGGCAAAGATGCTCACCATCTTTGCTACTATTCAACATTGTCTAGAGGTATTAGCCTTTGCAATTCAGCATGATAAATCAATTCAAAGCAAGATTGGTAAAGAGGAAGTAAAATTATCTCTATTTGCCAACAATGCTGGAAAAACTCAAATCAAGAATAAAATTAACTAAAAAGTCCAGTAAAGTAATACCATATAAAGCTAACAGACAAGAAGCCATAGCTTTCATACAAACAAACAATAGTTAGAGCACATAATGATAAAACTCGTTTAAATAGTACTGAAGAAGATTGAATACTTAGAAATAAAAATATCAGGATATGTGCAAAACTTATATGAGGAAATTTTTTAATACTCCCAAAAGTCACAAAGATAGACTTATACAAACAGGTAGAACAACTCAACATTATAAAGATGTTGACTTTCCTTTAGTTACTTAATAGATTTAATGCAATCCCAATAAAAATGCCAATAAGTTTTTACATGCATTACATAAATTGATAACTAATATTTACATAGAAAAACCTGCAAGAATAGCCAGAAAAATACCAAAAAAGGAATAACTGTGATGAAGACTAGCTCTGTCAGACATTAAAACAAAATATATTCACCGAATTTCTGACCGCTTAAAAAAAAATAGGTCAAATGCAGTGGCTGACACCTGTAATCCCAGCACTTCAGGATGCTGAGATGGGAGGATCACTTGAGGCCAAGAGGTTGAGATCAGCTCAGGCAACAAAGCCAAATCCCGTCTCTACAAAAAGTTAAAAAAATTATTTGGGCATGGTGGCACATGCCTGTAGTCCTAGCTACTTGGGAGGCTGAGGCAGGAGGACTGCTTGAGCCCAGGAGTTCAAAGTTGCAGTGAGCTAAAATTACACTATTGCAATTCAGCCTAGGCAAGAGAGTAAGACTTCATGTTAAAAAAAATAAAATCCTCTAGGGGCAGTGGTGCACACCTGTAGTCCCGGCACTTAGGGAGGCTGAGGATGGCAGATCGCTTGAGCCCAGAAGTTTCAGACCAGCCTGGGCAACACGGTGAAACACCTTCTCTACAAAAAGTACAAAAATTAGCTGAGCGTTGTGGTGCCTGCCTGTGGTCCCAGCTACTCAGGAGGCTGAGGTGGGAGCACTGCTTGAGCCTAGGAGGCAGAAGTTGCAGTGAGACGACATTGCACCACTGCACTCCAGCCTGGGTGACCAAGGGAGACTCTGACTCAAAAAAAAAAAAAATCCAGGGACAAGAAAAGAAAAGAATGATAGCTTGACTACATTTTTAAAAATTGCATGGCAAAAATCACCACAAACAAAGTAAAAAGACAACAGAAAACCTCCTAGAACTAATTGTCAGTTCAGCAAATTTGCAGATGAAGAGTAACATAAAATTACTCACATTTTTATATACTAAAAATGAACATATGGAAACCAAAATTTAAAACACAATACTACATACACTCATTCCAAATAAAATAAAATACTCTGCTTTATTAGATGAAACTAAAAAAGAAAAAAGAAAAAAAGAAAATGAAATACTCAGGTATAAGCCTAACAAAATATGTGTAGGATATGTTTGCTGAAATTTTTTTTGAATAGGGGGTACAGAGTCTTGCTCTGTAGCCCAGGCGGGAGTGCAGTGGCGGGATCTCAGCTCACTGCAACCTCCACCTCCCAGGTCCTGGTTCAAGCAATTCTACTCCCTTAGCCTCCTGAGTAGCTGGGATTACAGACATGTGCCACCATGCCCAGCTAATTTTTGTATTTTTAGTACAGACGGTGTTTTACCATGTTGGCCAGGCTGGTCTTGAACTCCTGACCTCATGATTCACCCGCCTTGGCTTCCCAAAGTGCTGGGAGTACAGGTGTGAGCCACCACGCCCAGCCTTTTCCTGAAAATTAAGTGCTAATGAAAGAAATAAAAGACCTAAATAAATGGAGAGGCATATTGTGTTCATGTATTTAAAGATGTAACATAGCAAACATCAATTATCCCTAAATTGATTTATAGGGGTTTTTTTGCTTTGTTTTAGAGTCGGGGTCTTGCTCTGTTGCCAGGCTGGAGTGCAGTGGTGCAATCATGGCTTACTGCAGCCTCAATCTCCTGGACTCAAGCTGATCTGTAGCTTTAATGTAATTCCTGTTAAAATTCCAGGATGGAATTCTGTTGACACGGACAGTTTGTTCTGTGATTTATATGGAAAGGCATAGGCTCTAAAATAGTTAAAACTGAAAAAGAATAATAAAGTGGGAAAAATCACTCTACCTAATTTCAAGATTACTGTTAGCTATACTAATGAAAACATTATGGTACTGGTGGAGAGAGAGACACACAGATCAATGGAACAGAATAAAGAACCCAGAAAAAGACCTAAATAAATATATTCAACTGGTTTTTAACAAAGGCCCAAAAGCAGGTGGAGGATCAGTCTTTTCAAGAAATGGTGCTGGAGCAACTAGACAGACACAGGTAAACAATGAAGCGTAGCCCAGGTTTCACAGCTCATACAAAATTAACTCAAAATGGATCATCGCACCAGTGGCGGTGGTTCACACCCGTAATCCCAGCACTTTGGGAGGGCGAGGCGGTTGGATCACCTGAGGTCAGGAGTTCCAGACCAGCCTGGCCAACATGGTGAAGCCTGGTCTCTACTAAAAATACAAAAATTAGTCGGGCGTGGTGGAAATAACCTGTTTTAGTCCGCTTGTGCTGCTATAACAAAATACTACAGACCGGCTGATTTATAAACAATAAAATATTATTTCTCACAATTCTGAAAGCTGGGACATCCAAGATCAGGGCTCCAGCAGCCTTGGTGTCTGGGAAGGGTTCAGTCTCTGCTTCCGAGACGGCACATTATTGTAGTGTCCTCAGTGGTCACTCATGGCCTAATCAGCTCCCAAAGATCCTCCCTCTCAATACTACTGCATTGCGGATTAAATTTCAACATGAAGTTTGGAAGGGACACAAATATTCAAACCACAGCACAAACCAATATACACCAATGGGTAAATGGAGAAACAACATGTAGTTTAGCCATACAATGTCATATTATTCACTCATGATAAGGAATGAAATACTGATACATGCAGCACCATGGTTGAACCTTGAAAATACTATGCTAAGTGAAAGAAGAAGCCAGACACAAAAAAGCCACATATTATATGTTTCAATTTATATGAAATGTCCAAAACAGGCAAATTCTTAAAGAAAGAAAGTAAATTAGTGGTGCCAGAGGCTGGGGAAAATGAGAAATAGAAGTGACCAAACAGATACGGCATTTCCTTTTGGGGTAATGAAAATATTTTGGAATTAGATAGCTGTGATGATTCCAGAGTCTTACAAATATATTGAGATGACTAAATTTTACACTTTAAAGGGATTTTTTTTTTGAGATGGGGTCTTGCTATGTTGCCAAGGCTGATCTTGAAGTCTTGGAGGCAAGGGATCCTTCCGCCTGAGTCTCCTGAGTAGCTTAGCTGAGACTACAGACGCATGCCACCATGCCCAGCTAAAAGGGAGAATTTTATAATAGGTGAAATAAATATTGATATAAGATTTTTTTAAATGATGAATGTACAAAAGCAGCAAAATTGAAAGACATCTCAATGGCCACATCTGGAACAAATTGAGCAACAAAATAAACAATGAGAGTAATAACGTTTTTTTTAATTTTGAGATAGGGTTTCACTCTATGACCCAAAGTGGAGTACAGTGGCATGATCAGGGCTCACTGCAGCCTTGACCTCCCAGGCTCAAGTGATCCTCCCACCTCAATCTCCTGAGTAGCTGGGACTGCAGGCTTGCACCACCACGCCTGGCTAGTTTTTTGTAGTTTTAGTAGAGATAGGGTCTTAGCATTTTGCCCAGGCTCATCTCAAACTTCTGGACTCAAGTGATCTGTCCACCTCAAAGTGCTGGGATTACAGGTGTGAGCCACCATGCCTGGCCTAAATTAAAATCTTTACAGTAAATATCTATAAGCCCATGTTGATGTAAATAAATAGTTGAATAAATAAATTAGGGAGAAAGAACAGCCCCAGAATGCAAATTTTAAAATGTATAGCCTGGGCAATATAATAAGACCTCATCTCTACAAAAAATTTTTTCAATTAACTGGGCATGATAGTGTGTGCCTGTAATCCTAGCTACTTAGGAGGCTGAGGCAGGAGGATTGCTTGAGCCCAGAAGGTCAAGGCTGCAGTGAGCCCTGAGTGCCCTGCTATACTCCAGCTTGTGCAGCAGAGTGAAACCCTGTCTCAGAAAAGAAAACAGATGTAGAAAGAATGATGGAAATAGAAAATCACCATTAGGCAAACACCATAATAATAATTGTTTCGGGCAAGAATCATGAATCAGTGCTCACATGGGCAAAAGCATGATGAGGAACAGGTTGTTTGCATAGTCTCAAAATAGTTCCCTATAAGACACTTATGGTTACAAAATAAAGACTAGTAACTTCACAGTGAAGAACTCTGACGATGACAGACACCACCTTAAGCAAGTGATCAGTGCAAACCAGCAGCAGTAGGAGCAGTAATGTACTGCATTGAGAAGGGCACAAGAGCACTTATGTGACATTCTTGCCAAAAATACATACCATCCATCTAATTAGGAGAAAACATCAGCCAAATCCTAATGGAGAGATATTCAACAAAATAATGGCCAGTGCTCAAGTCACAGTCATCGCAGAATCACAGAGCAAGCATCACAGACAGAAGACTAGAAGGCATGGAAACCAGATGCAATGTGAGAGCCTGGAGTCAGTCCTAGACCAGCAAAAGGGCATTCAGGGGAAAACTGGCAAAAGTCTAATAACAACTAAAGATCAGTCAGTTGGTCTTATTTTATCAGTGTAGATTTCCTCGTTTTGATCATTGGACTATGGATATGGAAGACTGTAACATTAGTGTCATAATCCTTAGGGTGCCGCTTCGTCAGCTGGAAACTTCTGTGGCCTGCGGTGCCTATACCTGGGCTTTGCACCCATTGGGCTCCTTCCACCCACTTGGCCTGGCAGGCTGTGTTTGGCTAGTGCCAGCAGCCCAGAGCCCACACCTGCCAAAGGCAAGCAACGGGTGTGTGCACCAGTGAGTGTGGGGTCTAGACACTGCACAAAGCAGTCATACTGGCTGCTGCTGCAGGGCAGGCAGCTCTAGGTGTCGACACATGTGCTGGCTCCATGCAAGGCTGCAGCTGGACCAGATATATCACACACAGCTTGCACTGTGAGCTCCTGCATCTGGACGAGGGGAACACAGTGGCACCCAGAAGCTTGGAGATGCCAGGAACCACAGAGCCCAAAAGAGGCTGTCACGGCCCTGGCTTGGGGAGCTCCTGGTCTGGGGCACTCAAAGGGCCTCAGCTCTTCTCTCCTTCTTATCTCTCACAGCATGGCAAGGGGTGTGTGTGGAGGAGGTGTGTTTTAGTCCTGTTTGTGTTAAACTCTTTCAGTCCTGCCATTTGGCAGGTCCTGAGTTCTTGTCCTGAGACCAGGAAGAACAAAGCACATGGACAACTGGAGGATGAGCAAAATGGAGAGGAGCTTCATTGAGCAACAGAACAGCTCTCAGGAGACCCAAAGTGAGTAGCTCCCTTCTGCAGCCAGGTCGTCTCCACAAATGTCCAGCTCTCAGCAGAGAGGAGACCCCAGTAGGTAGCTCCTTTCTGCAGGCACGTCATCCTGAAGAGCCCGGGAGACCCAAAGTGTATAGCTCCTTCCCTCTGCTGGCACTCCTGAAGTCTGCTGGAGTCTGGCTCAGTCCTGGGTATTTATGGGCTCAGAAGGGAGGAAGTCGTGCTGATTGGTCCATGGATGGCCATGGGCAGGCCTGGAAAAAAACACCATAAATTTTCACTTCTGACTTTGGACTCCACCCAGAACTGGCAGCCCAGTCCCCGGGCTTCAGGCAGTCCCTGACTTGAAGGTAGGGTTTCACTGGACCCACCCCTTTCTACCCAGGAGCCAGTCTGCCTCCTGCCACCATCAACGTGCTGTCCACAGTGCCCAGGATGTTCTTGCTGAGGGGCACCTGCAGGCCTGAACCCAGCTGGCCCTGGCCTCCCTCCCATGCTTATCAGTGCCCAAAGTCTGGAGGCAGCCAAGGCAGCAGGGGGCTGGCGTGTCAGTGCCCAGGCTCAGCCACAACTATGCTCCACCCCAGAGCGGGTGCCAGGAGCAAGGAGAGGCCAGGGAGTGGGAGCAGACACTTTCAAGCCTTTGAGGGCAAGAGGCTTCCTGGGCTTCCAAAAGCACAGGGAAGCTGGGGTCTGGAACTGCGGCTGGGTGACTGCAGCTGCACCAGGGGCTCTGGCTCCTGCCCCACCAACTCAGTATGGGGCAAGGCCTTTGTGTATTCCCTAGCGGGAGCTGGCTCCTTCGGGCTCACAGCCTTGCTGTGCATCCTCCACTGCACCTCCTTTGCTACAACTCCCATGCTGCAGCCTGCATCTTCACAGCTGTGGCTCCAGATGGGCTGCCTCTGCCATTAGGAGAAGCCAAGTGAGGAGTATTTAAGAACTCTTTGTACTACTTTTGCAAGTTCTCTGTAAGTCTAAAACTATGTCAATAAGATATGAAAAAAGTAATGAGATGGTGCTATGGTCTAAATGTTTGTCTCCCTAAAATTCGTAGGTTGAAATCCCAACCCACAATGTGATAGAACTAGGAGATAGGGCTTGGGGAGAGATGATTATTCATGAGGTTGGAACTGTCGTGAATGAGATCAGTGCCTTTATTAAAAAGGGCCTGGAGAGCTGCCTTGCCCCTTCCCCCATGTGAGGATGCAGCAAGAAGACGCCATCTGTGAATGCAGAAAGGGTCCTCCCCAGATACCGAATCTGATAGTGCCTTGATCTTGAACTTCCCAGGCTTCAGAACTGTGAGAAATAAACTTCTGTTGTTCATAAATCACCCAGCGTATGGTGGTTTGTTTTAGCCGCCCAAACAGTTGAAGACAGACGGTCATTGCATATAAGTAAGAGAAGCCACTCCCACCTCTAACCATTGGTTCCTAGACTGTTGTATTAAGACCAAAACAGAGAAAACATCACATGTAGGTCATTGGTTCAGAGCTCTGCATTGTGTTTACTTAGATTCTGTATTTGTTTATATAGCACCCATTAACCTAAGCGCCAAACTAATGGCTAAAGTTGTTTCCATCTTTCCTGTGATCCAGAGCCCATACTCTGAACTACTTTCTTATCTAACCCTCACACACCAAACCAGTATTTCTCCTGCCCTGAATAAAATCAGGCCAGGTACTAGACAACGAGGGACAGTCCCTATGCCCCCACACCCACCAGATTATTCAAATTAGCCAATTGTATGCTCTTTCTGAGGTAGGAGACCAGTAGGACTTGTTTTCTGATCAAAACACTGCTGACCAAAACAGAACAAAGTGAGGCAACTGGCAGGAACCAGTAGCTAGTAAGGAAAGTGATCCCTGGCTGCCCTCATTTTTCATTAGTGTAAGACACTCCCACAAGTACCAAGACATTTTACAAATTCCATGGCAACAACTCAGAAGTTAGACTTTCCCTTTCCTAGAAAGTTCTGAATAACCAGCCCCTCAATTTGCATTGACTTACTCCTTAATTTGAATATAATTGAAAATGTGTTTAAGTGAATATAAACACAATTGCCAAGAGCCCACACATTTCTTACTCTGGGTGCACTGCCAATGAGTCAGCCCTGCTCTGCAAGGAGCTGCACCGTTCAGTAAAAGTTGCTATTGTTTAACACCACTGGCTTGCCCTTGAATTCTTCCCTGGGTGAAGCCAAGAACTCTCCCAAGCTAAGCCCCAATTTTGGGGCTCACCTGTTCTGTATCATATGGTGACCACAAAGACGACAAAGACAGCAGAGATGGCAGCTATTGGTGATTGGTGAAGTGGCAGTGAGACAGTGGTGATGAGTGATCAGCAGAGAAGTGATGTGACAGCAGAGATGGCAGCAGTCAGTGGACAGGTGGTGAGAGACAGTGATTGACAGTGAGACTGGTGACCAGTGATTGGCAAAGGGGTGAAGCAATGAGAGACGGTGAGAAATGGCACTCAGGTAGACAGCAATTGGCAAGACGGTGAGACAGGAGAGGCAGCAATCAGAGAGAGGCAATGAGAAGCAGCAAGACAATGAATGGGAGTAAGGGAGACGGTGATTGGTGCTACAGCAATAAATGCTGCAGAGCTGTAGGACTAGCCAGAGGCTGGGCTGGGCTGAGCTCAAGCAATCCACACGCTTCAGCCTCCCAAACTGCAAAGGTGACAGGCATGAGCCACCATGCCCAGCCTTTTATTTTATTGTAATTTTTGCTCTGAAATGTATGTTTCATTTGTAGTTTTTGCTTTGTTTCCTGATAGACTGTATTTGGGCACTTGTTTAAAGCAAAACACTTGTCTTTGAGAGGTCCCCTGTTGTGTTGACACTAGAACACCAGAGTCATGTTGCTCTGTGGCCCCAACCAGGCCTTTCGGGTTCACTGTTGGCTGCCACCTAGACACTCCAAGGGTTTTTGTCATTGGCACTCCGTCTCAGGATGGTGAGATAGAGACCAACCCTAGGAGAATCTTGGTCTTGCCATTTCTTGTTTTCTGCCTTAAAGTTATTATTTTCCGTAAGAGCATTTTCTTTTCTTATTGTCACTTCATTTACACTTTTCTTTCCTTCTACATTTTGCTTGATAAAAATACTTTTCTTGTCATACTTCATCCACTGGAAAACGCCTGTTCCACTTTCATAATGCCTTGCTTACACTTCTGCAGGAAGTGAGAATCTAAAAGGGAAAAATAATGACAGCCCAGTTGCTTTCCCTCTCACTAGGCTTAGAAAAACTTCTGGCTCACCCCTGCAATCCCAGCACTTTGGGAGGCTGAGATGGATGGATGGATCACTTGAGGTCAGGAGTTCGAGATCAGCCTGACCAACACGGTGAAACACTGTCTCTAGTAAGAAATTAATACAAAATAGCTGGGCATGATGGTGTATGCCTGTAATCCCGGCTTCTCAAGAGGCTGAGGCAGGAAAATTGCTTGAACCCAGGAAACAGAGGTTGCAGTGAGCCAAGATCATGCCATTGCACTCCAGCCTGGGCAACAAGAGCAAAACTCCACTTAAAAAAAAAAAATTAAAATTAAAAAGAAAGACTTCTATGTCCAGTATAAATTCTTGTTGGACATGGAGACAATGATGAACATCCCAGAATACTCACCACTAGGGTGTCTTTTAGGCTGTGGGAGCAAGTTGAAATTCAACTTAAAGAAAAAGAGACTCATTTATAATTGCAGCACCACTTGGGTCCAAAACAAATTAGAAAACCAAGAGATTTGGCCTAATATATAGATTTGGTTCTATATATTGCAATGCTATTTTACAATTGGGTTTATTCTGTAGAAAAGAAGGAAAATGGGAGGAGGTCTCTTATGTACAGGCATTTATGGCCCTTTTATGGCTCATGTTACTTCCAGAAACCAGGAAGCCATACCTAAGGGTTCCCCTCCTAGCTGCTCCCCCTAGAAAGCCTACATCTTTCCTGGAGTCTCCTTAGTACCCCAGTTCTGAGGGAGTCCACCCCAAGGTCATCAGCCACCCTTATCCAGCTAGCCCCAGTCTATACTCCTCACTTCCCAAGGTAGTAAGCCTAACCAGTACCACCAATAGTGGGGCCCCATATCAACCTCTAAAATAAAACTTGTGTCCATTGTAGGAGGTGGCTGATGGAAATGGGGTAATACTTAGAATACATGTGTCATTTTCTATGTCAGATTTGGCTTTATGCAAAAAAATATGGCCAGTTTTCAGAGAATCTAGAAAATTTTATGGAAGAATTTGTTAACATTTTTAAATTTAACTTGCCATGACTTGCAAGTATTGTTGTCTCCTTGCTGTGCCATGGGAAAAAATGGTGGACAAAAAAGTGTGTAGTTAAGCCAACCAATTACGGCAAAGTTAGAAAAGTAACTCAGGGAAAAGATGAAAAACCCATTCTGTTTCAGGGTTGTTTTGTTGAGGCACTCAGGAAATATACTAATGCAGACCCAGACTCCCCAGTAGGGCAAACTCTCCTGGGTATGCATTTTATTACTCAACTTGCCCCTGAAATTAGGAGGAAGTTAAAAAAAGTAGCAATGGAACCTCAAACCTCTATAAGCCAATATGTAAACTTGACCTTTAAAATTTACAATATTAGAGACAGGCAAAAAAGGTAGAGAAAAAAAAAAAAAAAAAGACAAAAGAAATAGCTCCAGCCTGAGCAACATGACGAAACTCTGTCTCTACTAAAAATATGAAAAATTAGTTCTGCATGGTGGTATGTGCCTGTGGTCCCAGCTATTCAGGAGGCTGAGGTGGGGAGAATCACCTGAGCCCAGGAGGCTGCAGTAAGCTGAGATCATGCCACTGCAACTCCAGCCTGGGCAACTAGAGTGAGACCCTGTCTCAAAAAAGAAAAGAAATAGCCAAAAAGTGCAATCGTTAACTGTTACTTTAAGCCCCCTGCCACCTTGCAATTACCAATCCGGAGAAAGTGTCACAAGATCGGCAACTCACTGGCTCCTGGTCCAGAATCAATGTGCCTACCATAAGCAAAAGGACCATTTATAATGAGAATGTCCTAACCATCCCCAACAAAAAAGCTCCCCATCAATCTTAGAACTAACCTCCTTCCATATGTCCCAACGAGCCACCTTGCTCAAGTAAAATTACTCAGTCTCCTGGACCCATGACCCAACAGACAGCTTTCTGCAGTGGTAGACAAGTGGCCACCCAAACATTTTTCTTCGGTGGCTCAAGGACTCTGAGCCACCAGAGCAACATGGTTTACCTCCTCCCTTCCTTATTTGATGCTACAGGGTCCCCTTTCCTGCCTCTTCCTGTCTTCCCTACATATCTGGGTAAACAAAATTTGTTGAGGTAGACAGGTCCCAATTTTATAAGTAATTGGATCCATCTGTCTTGTGTAAGGTCACTTCATTTGTGTGATGTGTGTTGTATTTAGCATGCTATCAAATTGGCTTACAAATAAAAGAGAACTCATAAATTAAAAAATAAGACTAATTATTTTGAAGGGAATTTTATATCTTCTAAAATTTAACTTAAAGATTTTTACCTAGATAAACCTGTGATGTTTGTAGCTTTTAGAATGGTTAGGATGGCTTTAAAACAGTGAGCTTTTGCCGGGCGCGGTGGCTCAAGCCTGTAATCCCAGCACTTTGGGAGGCCGAGG